ATACCACGGTATATCTCTACTCTCTCTGCTGCCGGTGGGTGCGGCGTTCCGCGCACGCGCGGGGACGACCCATAATTCCCGCGAGACGCGGGGCGCGGACCGTTAAATTGCATTTACTTTGCACTGGGCAGCGTTTACGCCGCTCGGAGCCGTGTCGACGTTTCTCCGCGTTTCTAACCTGAAAGCATGGGCGACACCGAGCAGGACCCGGGCGACCGGGTCGACGGCGACAGCCAGAAGAACGACAAAATGTTCAGCCTGAAGAAGTGGAACGCCGTGGCGATGTGGAGCTGGGACGTGGAGTGCGACACCTGTGCCATTTGCCGAGTCCAGGTTATGGGTGAGTTTTGGTTATGTTCTCGTCGGCTCGTCTGGCGTCGGGTTTCCGCAGAAAATCGTCATTCCGAACGGGAAAAGGATTTATCTGTTCGCTTCACTCGCACCTAACTGTCCCCTTAGGAAGGAACGGAGAACGGAGTCAGCGTTAGGTTAGGTTTAAGCGACGTTGAAGAAACCGGGCCTGAAACTTGTGTCTCCTGACGCTGGCGATTGTCCGTGTACCGCGATGCCCATTTCTACCAATTAACTTTGATCTCGGTGTAACTTGTGGCGAATTCGACTGCTTGCACTTGTGCTGTTTACAGGCAATTTCTATGTTTAAGGATCGTCTTAAATATTTCTCAAGGTACCCCTTAGCCGGTAAATTGATTCTGTATGGCAGTACGGATCATGTTTTTGGCTAAATAGTTTTTGGCCATGTGCTTGAAACGACCCTGAATCGAAGGGTGAACCGCTGAGGGCGTTGTGGTGTATTTGCGGCATTACTGACCATTACTAAGCATTATTTGGGCATCGGGGCCTTGCTGGGACATTATAAAGGTAAAATTAGATAATAAGATAAAGTAATATCCACTGGGCGTTAGTAGGCACCGGTGTACATGATTTTGGTCAGCGGTTCACCCCTCGATCTTCAAGAACCAGCAGCAATCATACTACAATTTTAACTTAGGTCCTTTAAGATATAAAATCAAATTAGAAATTAAAGAGGCCGTTTAGGCCTCTTAGCAATCAGTTGGTCTTCAAGTTCTCAGAAGTTCACTGAGGTGCATGTAACTTGATCAATCATTCTTGTGTGAATTCTTAAAGAATTACAATTGAGGAAGAGAGAAAACCTGAAGAACACTTAGCGAAATCACTGCCTGGGCAGTGCATACGTATAATCTTACCCCGGCCATGTTAAGGTTATATTTTTATCATGTAATGTGTAATAAGAACACAATATCTTGTGACAATTTGTAAGATACTAAGATTCATAAAACTCTAACGTGAAAAGGCAAATACGAGGAATAAAGGAGTAAGAGCCGAGACAGGAGGATAAGAAATTCAGGCGACAATTTTACATAAATGTATATCATTTTATGTGTATAATAGATAGTCTTAAAATTAAAACCACATAATAACTTATTATAATAGGATTACTCGTAAACTTAACATGAGTATTAAATTATCAAAAAATATTCCGCCATCTTCATTTTGCTTTGGCAAATAGCTTATGAATAAGCGGCAGGTATTACTTACAAATGAGCGCTCTCCGTTTAACGACGAAGGTCGCGCGAGTGTTTGCCCTCACTATCCGTTGAATGCCGAGGAAGGATAGGAGGACGCCCGCGTCGACTTGTGTCGCTAAACGGAGAACAGCCGACAGCAACGAATGTAAAACGGTAAACATGAGAAACGAAGAAATGCCGTGATCGGGGTCGTTGTACTAATAAGAGAGTAATAACGTACTCAATTCTCATATAAAACAAGGTATTGTGCACTTATTGCTTTATATGATATTAGAGTGAGTCGTACATCGAACCGCGCGCGATCGCGCAGGAATGATCTTTTGTTCGAGCGGTATTTTCAAAACGAGACCTCGCTGTGGATTCCACTCGCGCGAATGTCGAGGCGAGACCTCGCGCGAAGACAAGAGATTACGGGAGACGTTTAAGGCCCGGTTTCACCAAACGTCGTTAAACTTTGATCTTGGTTCAATTCACGTTTGCCTCTTTCTAAAGTAACAATTAGAAAGCGACAAAGAGCGAATTAAGCTAAGCTTAAAGTTAAACAACGTTGGTGAAACATAAGCCTATCGCACACTAGAGAAAGCACAGGCAATAGGAATAGGCAGTAGGGACAGAATTTCCGTTGAATTTTTGTTTCCCCGTTCCCTGACCACAATCACGGTCGAGACCCTGGGACAGGCACGTGGTTTCACAAAGCGGATGATTGGACAGCACTTCTATTGCCTACGAATTATTTCTGCTGCCTGTGTTATTCCCTATTCCTATTGCCTGTGCTTTCCCACTGTGTGACGGGCTTTAGACCGACGTTTTCCGTCGTTTTCTAACACGTAATTCATCAGGAAACAAACAGGATTCGCCGCTAAAATCCTTCAACTCGCACGCACACAACTACAAGCACACTCTCGTAAGCTTATAAAAATTGGTTTCAACATTTTCCAACGCGCTCGTCAGTAGTCGATTATGATATGCATTTAGTTCGCACTGTGCCAAACACGTCCGCGCGTGCACCCGGTCGCGTGCAGTGATTCGGAATAAGCAACGAATGTATAATTTACGTATAACGTTAACGCTGGACACAACTTGTCTAACATCTCCTACGATGCAAACGGACGAGAGACGTCGCAAGGCACTACGCCGTCCTTTAAACGCCGTAAAAATCTTCCCCCGAATGTCCTGTAGAAGTTAATCTCTAGAAAATCAATTAACACTCATTTCAATTTATAAAACCCGTCGAAAACTATGTAGAGTTTTAATCTACATGTAAACTCGCCCTACAATCTCATCAATCGTTAATCTGATAAATCTGGATAAATCGTTATTTATATATAAAAAAATATACATATATTTATATATATAAATATATATCAATAATTTAAATAAGATGTGAACAAATGGTTCCATCGTGTGATATCTCTCGATATGCAAATTAGTCTTCCATTAAATTACTCGACCGGGAACACTCGTCAGGTGCCCGACGCAGTTTTACCCTAACTTTCGAACATAGGCGACTATTTTACATTTGTCTGAGACTTCTTCCTCCAACTCTCTCACGTGACTCGCTGAGAACTTCATCTCGGCCTCACGACTACGCTCCCACTTTTCCCCTCGCTTTGGAGAATAAAAATATATATATATATCTGTCATATATCGTAACGCTTAAATTATCGTTTGACTATCGTACGTACATTTAAGATCACATCCCACATTGATACAGCCGCCCGATACCAAGCGTCATTTGGCTTAACACAAAGATTACGATCGCGGGCTGCTGGAATCACGTCGTTCCACTTACGATCAATTTCGTCAACGCTGATTAACTACAATCGCAAGCCAATGCTCTCCACCCGTCCCTTTCTCAAATCTTGCCCGTCGAGACGAAAGAGTCGATAGAAAAATAATTATCCAGCCGCGATTGAAACTAACAACGATCCTCGGACGTGGATACATAATATCACTTAGGCGCAAATCTCCGACTATTTACAATTTATAACTAGACGAGAACGCGGTTGGGACTTAAAACTTATTGTCGCGTGGGAAAATTCGCCCCTGTTCGAAAGACCGGCTTCTTGGTCGGCGTATAACATATACATAACATATAAGTACATACGTATTACGCGTGCTTTTTAAATTCATGGCGCACGTGGCGATTAATCGTATCGCGCACAACCACAGCCCCACGCAAATTGCGTCGTTTCACGTGCGCTATAAAAAAAGCAGAATGAACGCGCGCGACTAGCGTTGACCCACGTACACCTATAACGACAGTATCATCCGCTATATTCTAAGTAGAGCAGTATCAACTTGAGGTAGACCCTGCAGGACCTGTCGGAAGTAATAAAAAACAATTGCAACTACACACCTAGTCAACAGCTGATTGCCACGTATCGCGCTAGTCACTTCCACGCTGGGAAAGCGTAACCCGTTTACATCCCACGAGGTTAATCGATTGGCCTCGCAATTTCGATACACCCGACAAGATTGGCACTAACTGGCTAGCTCTGATCCTCGCATTCGACGTGAATTATAAGTCAAAGCGAGGTCTGCCGAAGTCACGCTTTACGAAGTCAGTTGAAGAAGCGAATGAACGGGGACGAGGCATCTTCCTTTTCTTTTTGCGAGACTTGGAGGAATCATCTTGGTTAACTTTTTTAAAAATCGATTTTTTTTCCTCGAGCTTTCGAGAGATCGTCGAATTTCTCGGTCGATGAAACTCCTCTTCCAATTGCCTCTTCAACTCGTTGAAAGGAGATATTTTAGAGATTGTCGTCCGTGCGCTTTTACCATTCAGATCTATGAATTCCGTTTCTTTACTAGTTGTCTCTAAATCGCTCAAACTACGTTATAACGAGCAGACTTTGCGAAAGTGAGCCGATGAGCTCGAAAGTAAGAGCAGGGAAGAGCCAAAAAGGAAGAACACATACGCTTCTCTTGACACAGAGAGAAGTGTAAACCTTCGAACCTGACTTCCCCTTAAGGGAAAGCGTACCTGTAAGGGAATCTCTCCCTTAGAAGGACGCCGTACGCAGTCCTATATCTCACTCGAACGAGCTTCTTTGTCGACGCGTGCCGCGGTCGATGGTTCAGTAGCTAGCACGACATCGGCGTCGGTTTCATGTTGGCGACCGCGCTCATTCGCCTGGTCGGGCCTGTAAACTTCCTCTCGATCTCCTCGAGCGACCTGCCGCGGGTCTCCGGCACGCTGACGATGACGAAAACGAAGCCCACGACGACGATGATGCCAAACAGCCAGAAGGTGCCGTGCGTGCCGATTACCCCTATGACGTCCTCGAAGGTCTTCGTCACGATGAAGGTGCACATCCAGTTGAAGCTGGTCGCGATACTCGCGGCGGAGCCGCGGATCTTGGCGGGCAGAATCTCGCCCATCATCAGCCAAGGAATCGGCCCGAAGCCCAGCGAGAAACCTATCACGTATATGATCAGACTGGCCAACGGCAGCCAGCCGTAGGCCGTCACGTCCACGTCCAGCGATTTCACGTAGAAGAATCCGCCAAGAGAGAAGAGGGTCACGGCCATCAATATGGCGCTTATGTACAGTAGCATCTTCCTGCCCAGCTTGTCGATGACGGCCGCGGCGACGAAGGTGGATATGAAGTTCACTATGCCGATGATTATGGTCGAGAGATTCTCGTCGATTGTGCTACCAGCGTCCTGAAAAGAGAACGTTCGCTCGTTACTCGAAACGATTCGTCGGTTGTTACGCGAATCTGATTTATATCTCTCTAAATTTAAAGATCCATTCGATCATTTCAGTTTCGTCACTTGAGAATTGTGCGTTTAAAAATTATTGAATCGCCAGAGGCAGTTGATGTGCTCACCTGGAAGATCTGCACCGTGTAGAATATCACCGCGTTGATGCCGGACATTTGTTGGAACAGCATTAAGCCCAAAGAGATGAACAGGGGTACGAGATGCTTGCTCTTCAACAACTCCGAGAGCGTGCTTGGAGAGTCTTCCCGCTCGTTGTCGAGGTACTCCTGATTCAATTTCTCGATCAGAGCCAACTCGTCCGTTATGTCTGCATCTTTGCCGCGCAGCCATTGAAGAGACTTGCGAGACATCTTCGTTTTCCCCTTGGAGATGTACCATCTCGGCGTCTCCGGAATCACGAACATCAGAATCAAGAACGGTAGCGGTAAACACGCTCCTATCAACGCCAGATTTCTCCAATCCAGATACATGCCCGCTACGAAGCACAGTAATATCCCTGCGCATCGAGTATGAAATTTTTATCAGTTCTCGTGGGAGATAATTTCCGAAGAATAAAGCACAGAATAATATAGAGGAAGCTAGAGCAGGTTCTCAGCACCCAAATTCAATCGCAAATAAATTTCCTCCTACTTACCGGTGTTACCAAACGCGGTGGGCATTAAACCAAGAGTACCGCGCACTTCCGCCTGTATCGTTTCGCCTAAGTACACAGGCAACGCTAAAGAAGCAACACCCACGGCGAAGCCGCATAGCGCGCGTCCAGCCAATATCATCGGAACATTTGTAGCCGTCGCAATTAAGAGCCACGCTGTAAATAAGAATAATGCCATCGTCTAACGTGGTCTACTACTTATGCGCGATGCAAGAATTCGGGACATAAGGGAAAGCTACACGGAGAGAAGTTTCTTTTACAATTTATCCTGAAGACATTGTAATCGTGGGACAACGCGGCATTTTAAAGAATTTTATGAGTTTTCTGAAATTTTATCATCCACTAGTAATTATACTTAGTACACATTTTACTGGTAAAATGTACGGTAAACTTTCAAGAAGCTCTCATAAAGTTCTTGAAAATGCCACGTTGTCCCACAATCACACGATTTTCCGAAATAAATCTTAAGAGAAAGTTCTCTCCGCGTACATATAACCAATTTAAATAATTTGATGGAAGATGTGACACACACAGGGCTTATGTAACGTTACTTATTGCGATAACTCGCTTCATTATCTCTTGGATATACATGTGTGTCTCGGTATATTGTGTTTCTATTGCATAAGGTTTTCTTGCTTTATGCATACTTCGGTAATCTTACCTGCGATGAATGGGAACGCTGTGACAATTATCGTCTTTTTCCTTCCTATATATTCGATGAGCGGTCCCCCAGCAATGCCACCGACAAGTGCGCTCAGTGGCATAAGCGAGCCAATCCACATGCTCTGTAACACAATTTGGAATATCGCGTAAGCATAGAAAACGGAAACTCAAATTTAGAATCGTATAACACGAGACCACAATCGATTTAGATTTTACTGGAGCCACATCGTCTACTGCAAGTTTCTAATTGCCAATCGGTGAATTAACTGAATATCAAATTGAATATTCGTTAAAGTTTATTCGAAAGTAACTGCACAACATTCTACACGTAGGTATGCAAGCGATGCAGAAATTTAATAAACATCGGGCCAAATGCCTCATGTAACGCGTTAAACTTTTAATATAATTAAAATGGTTTTCGGACGTAAAATGTGCTGTATACTCGGCAATTGTTAAAATTATTTATGTACAGAAATGACAAAGGATAGGATTGAAAAAAAAATAGATTGATTGTATATGCGGCGACAGCCCTCGATTGTTTTAAATTCATCGTTCGAATAACAGTCCTGTATATCGAAGCAATACTGGTAGTTTTATTCATCACAGGTTCTTTGAATACAAATAAGGTCGGGAAGCCGCAAAATGTCAAGGAAAACAATTGCGAAGGGCGACCATCGATCATTTTGGTTGTCCACTCGCGGTCGTGCGTTTTAATTAAGTTACCGCGCAGAAACGTGTTGCGAAATCTTTACCACGATCGAGTTACTAAGCGCGAAATAATTACTGTAATAATTGCTGTCACGAAATAATCGGTAAGAGATAGTTGACAGTGTTCTTAGTACGATGGTTTTTAATAATGTATTATTTTCTCAAATCTTATTTACTGGAATATCTTGCATACTCTTGAATCATTTATTCTTAATAGAAAAAGAAAGCGAATTTAGAAACATATGGGAATACTGTGTGTGCAAAAATTAATTTGCACGATCGGTAACCATTCTATCTTATCTCTATCGGTAGAGACTTAGATTATTTACTCAAGTCTTGATATTTTTCGTAGTATATCGTAAAATATTATCGCGTAGAAAATGCGTCAATCAAACGTTTCGCTGAATAATCCTAATATAAAGGAATAATTTTTAGAATGAAGGAAAATGATAATTTTTATAATTAAGAAAGCAAGAAAATATTAAACGTTATTTTGTCCCCTTTCGCTTTCAAGTGTACGTTAACGCGGGGCTTCCCGAAATTTGAGATACGTGTCTCCGAGCGTGTTTCACATCGCGGCTCGTCCGAGGCTCGCGTTTGCCAATGCGGAAGCGTCTTATTCACGCTCGCTTACGTATCTGGAATCAATTTCCGACATCGTCACGGCGTTGAGGCCTTAAAGGCAGAGTCGGCGTGTCCGGCAAAGCGGCCAATCGCGTTCGCGGCCACTGGGGCACAACGGCTCCTTCGCCAATACGATCGCAATCAGGCCATCGTGCCCCTGACCAGTCGCCAGTGACGCACTTGAGGTTAAACTTTTTAATTATCCATTGACCCTTCGAATAACGAAGGTCGTACCACCTTTTCATACGCACGCGTAGCTCGCGATAATTTACAAGTGACGTCGTTTGTCATCGGCGCCCAGCTTCGGCATCCACTTCGTATTGATCCACAACGCGCCGCCGGCAAACAACTCCGTCGGATTTTTCCTTGACATCGTGAATTTAATTAAAATGTCTTTAAATGGGCGCAGAAATGCGCGCTGTCGCAATATCTGTTTGCGATCTGGACATAGACGAAAACGATGCTTGGCATTCACGATTACGCGTTTGGCATTCTCCGATAGCTTCAAACAATAAGATGGTAGGTTCCTTTTTTGTAAATATAAAACGTTCACGTAAATGTAGACCATAGTTACCGATCTGAATACAAATAAATATCATGCGATTTCGGAAAGAGACCCGTTTGGGTCTCCGCAGAAACACAACGAGCCAGGATTGTGTAGTTCTTACGCTAAACGGATAATGTGCATAATTGGCGGTAGATGTTCAAGAAACCGTGTCCGATTCCCACAATCTTCCACTTCCGACGAAACCGGATCCTCCGTATCGCTTCACGATCGAGCGTTCCGAGACCGCGACTTTATTCCGAGCACTTTTATGAAGACGTTTGTCGGAAATTGTTTCACCATATCTAGCTTTTGCAAACTTGACGAATTTCATGGATGCACGGATGCGAATTACACGCCCGATAAGACGCGCGATTTGTCTTAAGGCCCGCGTCCACGATGCTAGGAACTTGGACCAAGGTTCTAGCATCGTGGGCGCAGGTTTTAGGACCTGAGCGAAGTTGCTTCTTGAATCTTTAAGACCCCAAGACAGCTATGGTGCGTCACTTCAAGACGAAGATCTTAAAGCATAACTCATTGTCTTAAGAGTACAGGACAGCCCATTCTGCTCAGCGCGAGGGGGAAACCACTGACCAAAATCTTGTACACCAGTGGGCATTACTTTATCTTATTTATCTTGTTTTATCTTATTTTATTTTTATAATGTCCCAGCAAGACCTAATGCCCAAACTAATGCCCAGCAATGCCGCAAATCTGTACACCACAATGTCCTCAGCGGTTTCCCCCTCGGCTCAGCGCACCTTGCAATAAATCCTCGACGCTTCCGAATAGGAATTAAGGTCGTTCCGGACTGTATAAAAAGAATATGAATTGCTAGACTCACCATGTGTTTGGTGACTTCGAAGCTCGTCGTGGCATTGTCGCGCATGGATACCAGCGCTGGCGACGTGTAGGAAGACGCGTAGCCGACCTGCATCGAACCCAACGACACCGATAACGCAGCCAATATCTGCAAATTATAAATAGCGTGTAAAAACGTACGAACCGACGTCTTCGACTCTTTAGGCTTTACTCTGCGAGGAAAACTCCTTTTTAATTCCTAAAGGGATTATTAAACATAATTGGAATAAATTCAATCGGTAAGGCGAATTGACAGAATAAATACAATCGTAAATCTTAGCGCGTAGAGAAGAAACGACCATATAATCAAGATTGCGAGGATTTCCATGCCTTTTTTTAATGCACGAAAAATATATCGTTATCGAGTGTTTGTAACACACAATAGTTGTTTGTTATATAGAATCTATTTTGAGATATCAAAGAATCGAGATCAACGCAACAATTTCATTGATATTCGATCAATTGTCATGATTTGCGTCATAAAAATTACGTCGGAAATATTGCGACATTTACATGGAAAATACCCGGTCATTTTCGCATTTTTTCCATATTAACGTATGAATCTTTATTCAATGATTATTTGGTGGTTATTAATATATAACTCGAGCGCACGTGTTTCCTTTCTTACATTACTTTGATTTATCTTTGCAACTCTTGCGAAACACCTCTTCTCACCCTTCACGAACATTGAGAAAATCTCCAGACAGGAGACAAAGACGAGGAAAAAAAATGTCGGTCTAAATGAACATTTTACCTGAGTGATCGTGCATTTTGCTGCCGGCGCGTTTATCGGCAGCTCAATGTTCACATAAGTGTCCGCTCGCAGGAGAATCTTCATTATTACGGATAGAGTGAACCTATTATGATACTATCTTGTAATCTCGATTTTCCGACCAACGGGATTGCGGAGGGCCAGTTTAACACATTCATCGGCAAATGTAATTTAGCTGATTTTTTTATTCATACCATTTTTATTCATATACCATTTTTATTCATACCATTTTTATTCATACCAACTTAAGTGATTTTATATTAAAAAGAACAATGCAATATTGAATTTACAATGTTAAATTTATAGCATTGAGTTGCACGAAAATTTGATATTGACTTGACAGTCGCTTTATGACAACCGTTGGTGACCGACGAAACGTAAACGGAAAAAGAACTCGGTGTCGATCACCAGTGACCACCGTGACGGTGAATGTGTTAACCAATGACTGTCTGAGATAGACAGCAGTTCTTCATCTACGCGGAGAGAATTTTCTCTTCAAATTTATCCTGAAAATTGTGTAATCGTAGGACAACGTCTCGAAGATTTTATGAGAGTGTTTTGAAAGTTTACCATACATTCTACTAGTAACATGTGTACTAAGTGTAATTACTAGTAAAATGTACAGTAAAATTTCGAAAAACTGTCATCAAGCTCTTTAAAATGCCGTTGTCCCGCGATTACGTAAATCTCAGGGTAAATTTTAAAAGAAAATTCTCTCCGTGTATAACGCGAGGACCCTCGTAATCCGCGGTGAAAACACTGAAAATCGAAACCGAAGCGAAATGTCGGGGACTCCAACGATTGTTTCGAACACCCGCGATAGGGCAAACTGACGATAAGCGGATTTATTCCGATCGCTGTTTCGTAGCGATGATAGATCGATTTCCCAAAATCTGCAATTTGCAGACTCTCGCGTTCTCCCTGTAAACAGTCACGACGAACGCGGCTGCAGAAGAAATCGGATAACCGGGCTTTGACCCTTCGAGGATCCCGACTGCGTTCGTGATGAGAGAAACTCACTGTCGCGCGCGGGGACTGTGCCAGAGATCGATATATCTCCGGTCGGAGTCCGTTGATTCGACTTAATCGACGATCAACGAACTGGGTATCGATCGCGCACTGACGCGAGTGGAAGTTTTCGATGTCACAGTATAATACAAGCTATTGTATGACACTTGTGGGCCGCGCCGGGTGATCTTATATAGAGAGCGATGCTGGGGGCCGGCCATCCCTTCCCCTCGACATTGAGAACTTCGTAGATCACTACTCCGCGGAGCATATCGGATGATCGCGGATACGTCAATTTGACAAGACGCCTTCGTTTTACGCTTTCGCCTCGCGACACCAATTCCGGGGGGCGAAGGGGGAGCTCACGCACGTCTTTGCGTAACTGTATCTGCTGGAGCACTTTGGAAACTCGAGGGGAATATAACTCGTGCATTTAACGAAAAAAGTCCCCCCCATTATGAGATAGGTTCCTAATAAGAGGTAGCGGGGTTTCTACTACATTCATCATCTGTTGGTTCCACTATGAATTTATTGCTCTTGGAGTGAAATCTGTTAAATAGTTAAGAAAAGATTCACCGTTAGACCGTTTAATAGTTGCGAAAAGGGATTTGTGATTGAATTTGGATGTTGAAACTCTGCTATCTTATGTCAGAAGCCTATCTTATGATCGGGGACTTTCATCTATGTATGTTCTTTATTGGTACATTGTGTTTACTATTTTCATAAAGACTATTGATGAGAAAGATACGGCAGACTGTATCAATAAAGACTTAACTATTTTATTATTCATTCAAACAACTATAGATTATGTGACGTCATACGTTTGGTTTATTAATTGCTGATATTTATTAATTAATCTCGCTGCCTCGATCATAGGTCATTAAATTGTTTTGAGCTTGATAAATACAGCTAACGATTATAGCTACATTTGCTTTTAACGTGTAACGCGAATGCGATTGTACGTATAATCAAGGTCTATTTCCAGCTTGATAAATGTTCATTGTTTCACGGCGTAGAGCATCGTTTTATCAAGCTAAATTTAGTTTTTCACATCGTCTTTTTGCTTGAATTATGAATATTAAATAAATTGAACAAGTAAACATAAAGCCAACCGGGTGTTAGCGTCTAAATAATTGTAATTTAAATTTATCGCAAAAAATACCTCAGCCAGGGTTTGAACCTGGACCTGGACCTCCCTACTCGTCAATTCGACCATCGAGGCACGTGGCAATGTTCACCGCAATAAACAGTCTAACGTTATTTCACAACAGTCACATATCGCGATTGAATTCGAAGTAGAATTTATTTCGCTTATTTTTAATGACGTGCATAATTCACGTAAATAGAAATAAATTTGCGTTCCCCATGATACGAAATAATATAATAACAATTGAAAAATTCTGGCGGCGCCCATGGTGCCATTCGTCCATGAATGTGCCGATGGCAACCGCAAGGAAAGTGTATGAGCCGTATGCAAGGCTGCAATATACGTTACAGGGTTGCGTCTGCTTTCCGCTCGTCTCCTCTCGTTCTCGCACAATTGTCACGCTGATCATTTTGGTCACGTAACAGACGAAATGATGAACGCGTGTGTTTACTTGTACGCATGTATTACAATAGAGTAAAATGTTTAATGCAAGAATGTTCTAATTCCCGTATGAATATTTTATTAGTTTTTCTACAACAATTATTTCGGTTTATACACTTTTGAAAAAAATACCGCAACTTCCACAGTACTGTAACATTGTAAATTCCACGTAGCGCGCGAATGAAGGTTGGATCGACGTGGCTTCTGACGGACCGCACGTGTGGTCGTACTACTGTAGGCCGCGCGCGTCCTTAAGATCCAGCAGTTTATTCTCGAGAGCGCGATTTCCAACAGTAAAGGAGGAAGAAACATTCTCAGTCGGTAAACGTGAACTGGACGCATTGTACTCGGACAACGCAACTTAACCGCACTGGACGATTTGTGAAATAAGTATTTGTAGTATACACTCGCCTGCATTACAGGCAACGTTGATGTTACGCGCAAGGAACACGCGCGAAGTTCCTTCGTGTATTATTTCCAAATATTGCCTGCGAGATAACTATATGGATAATCGTTTTAAGCTCTGGCATAATTCGCAGGTTTTTATTTTCTCCAATCGAAGTTGTTCGTGTTGATAACATTCTGCCTTGCCGATTGAAATTTATATTTCAAAACGGAGTTTACAGCATTTTTAGAACAAGCGATGCTGCCATCATCTGATTATATTTAATCTATTCCCAAATTTTATTTCTAATAATTTATCAATCGAGGGAAAGATCTCTCTTTCTACATTTTTAATACAATTTGAAATTGTTCGAAAGATCTATAGAGGAAAGTTTCCTATTATGAGAAAAGTTCCTAATATGGGATAGCGGGGTTTCTGTTAAATTAACAAGCATCATCTATTGGTTCCACCGTGAATTTATTGCTCTCGAAGTGAAATCTGTTTAGTGAAAAATTCATTGTTAGATCGTGTAATCGTAGCGAAAAGAGATTTGTGATTGAATTTGGACGTTGAAAACCTGCTGTCTCACATTAGAAGCCTATCTAATAATAGGGAACTTTCCTCTATATCAATGGGAAAAATATACGGAACTTACCTGGGCGGCGAACCGTAACCAGGAGGGTTTAGATTCCTTCTGGAACTCCGAAGGCGGCAGCCGGGTGGGTTCCTGCGGGTCCTTGGGCAATTTCACTTCCTCGGAATCCATGAGGATGTTAATACTTGAGCTTTGCTCGCTCGGTAGCAGTGGATCTAGCTGCTTGTAATCGATGCCCTGGTTCTTGTGAAGCGGATCGTAGATCCGCCCTTTTAGGGTCTTCTGATGATTATTCCTCAAATTTTCGGCATAGTAATGATTGGATCCCTTGCCGGCATCGCCAGAGAAGTATCTCTTCTCGGTGATGAGGGCGGTCTGGCTGTTGAAGGGACTGGTGTTCGTCACGAGGGTGGCGTTCGACGAACAGTCTAGGGTGGACCCAGAACTGGTCGGCGAAGACCTGATGGCCGGGGATACCCTCGGATATTTGGGCAAAACGCTGCGCTCCTGAAATGCAGAGTCCCGTCTTAACAATTTATATCGAAATAAAATTCAACATTTTCAAAATTGCCATAGATGGACGGTATCAAAATGATCGTTCAAAGAAGAAAACATTGATATACGTGGGCAAAAGTTTTTGTCAAAAGAAAAATGTGCGCAGCAATAAGTATTTGATATAACACAAAACTCACTATTGTTCTTTGTTTATTGTGAAAAACACAATTTTTACGGAGTCGTTATTGGTCGCGAAACGCAAGACTCTCCTGCTTATTTTTCAAATCTTAACAAAAATATATTTTGAAAGTCTTATAAGAATGGATAAAAATGTACAAGTTGAAACCGGAGCTAACTGCAAAAGAGGAGCCGAACTGGACATTACCAGATTTCGACTGCTCCTCTTCGTGATAAAGTTCGCGTGGTAAACAGATTACGTTAATGATGGACATAAATGAACGGAACAAGCACTGCGCGTAATTGAAAAAATGACGGGAAAATTCATCCGTTTCAACTCGTTCTCTTGAAACTCACCTCCGAATATAACGTGAAGAAATCGAAAGCAAAATGTATATTTTTTTTATCTCTTCTCTTTGCTCGGAATGGAATAATAAATAATTATAACGAAACAATTGAACAATGCAATATATGTACATAATTGCATTGTGTAAGAGATTAGCCAGTACGATTTAATTGAAATGTTATATAAAAGAAAACGTGCGTCTTTTTTAAACGTCATAAAATTTCAGATATTTTTCTTTTCGGAATCTATGTCGTATTTTCGAACATATCGAGAATATATTTATTTTTAATCTTCTAAAATAACGACTTAATAGCATAGGATTGCAAAAATATTTTCGTGCTTCTAAGAAGTCTCGTCTTTCACGACACATATTTACTTTAGCACAAAAACCACTTTGGGGAAATTTTCTAAATCACCGATTACTTTCGCGAGATGTTAACAGACGCGAAATCCGCGTAAACGACAGAACGTATCCACGGACGAACTGTACACTGAAGAGACCACCGGATGTAAAATGATAAGAAGATGTGAAAATTACAAGAATGATATGAGAAGCAAGTAAAACGAACAAAACCGCGTTACCGATCGCTGAAGAACGCACGTCCGTTTATTCTCGTAGCTGTTCACTCGAAGGGATGAAACGCTAAAGTTGGGCTATTTATACTGTTTTGAAGAATCGCTTTATCAAGAATCACAGTGAAAACACGCCAATAGAGAGGGAGCCGAATCATACAAGGGGAGAAAAAAAATAGAGGGCGAGTAACGCCCGCGCACCAAGTCAGAGCGTGCGAGAGCGGGAGGAAGAACGAATGTGTGATTATTCAGCGAGCCAATGGCGAAAAGTCAGTGGCAGAGAACTGAGCAATGATGATTCCCGGTCGGAGATTAGATGACATTTTTACCCCTGAATGATAACCCGTCGTGAACTTCACTATTAACGACGAGCTTTCGCGAAGTGTTTCTTTACTCAGACTGTTGACGCAAAAGGTTACGTGATAAGAAGAGTGTCCAATTCCATTCTAAAGCCGAAAACTCGTAATTACATACCTAACGCGTTCTAGAACAATAACTTTCGTAGCGAGCAGTCGGCCATTCAGAAACCGTCGATCCCGAAAATAACGAATGAAAATATCTAAGGTGCCCGTTACAGTCGTGAATTGTCAATAAAATTGAACCGTCGACTTTTCACCTACAATCAGGCAATGCAATCCTGTATTTGATGGATCCCTGGACTCGCGAAAACACTTACGTCAGCTAAGGTCGCCCATGCCAATAAGATTAATATACTTTTAAAGAAGTCGCGCGCAAAATTACGTTTGTAGGCATCACAGGTATTTTGTGCATCGAATATACGCGCACGTTAAAAATATAAATATAAAGTTAATCGATTTTCTCCATGCTTTTTGCAATCTTATCTTTCTTCTTGCCTTCTTTCCACTCTTTCTTGTTGCTTTCCTTTCTTGTCGGTTATTTCTACATTTGCGATTGTACTCTCGTGTCGAGTAGAGGAGCGCGTTAACTCACAAACACAATAGCTGCTCCTTCTCTCGCCGTCTTCCACCAAGATTGCGATATATAAATTCTAACGAGATCTCGTTTCAGCGTGTTCTATCGGCGGTGCAACACTGAGAATAGATCGGTGCGATAAGATTGTTAAGTAGACACCTGATTTGTGCCCCTTCTATTGAAAAGAAGGCGTTATTAAATTTTACGGCGTTCCTCTCGAAGGCTATATGTTAAAGCGTAATATTGCGTCGCACAGCAATCGAACGAATATAAAAATCGCCCTATTAGAGGCGAGCTTCTATCCAGCGATGCGTAGATCATCCTTTGTGGGCGCGTGATATGATGTTTTACGTCACATTAGTATGGCTATTGTGTCGAAAAATCCTCTGTTTATCCCGCGGTCATCACGTGCTTCCAACATGCGTGATAAAGTTCACATACATATACGATATGAACTCTGACGTCTCGGAGAAAAACTGAGCGTTTGACGTAATGCCGTGGGCTTGCTCTTTGGAGTTCGGCTCTGCACAAAAAGTTCTGGTACGTTTTCTCATTAGTTCACGAAAAATTGTGCGCGAATCATGTGTCGCCTGTGATCACGTGGGGTCGGTGGCTTGCAATACCGCGTGTTTCAGTACATCTTTCAAAGGATCGACGCAGTCTCGGGGCAACGAGCGCATGGCGTTCCCGATACGAAGCTACCGCGGTTCCAAAATTGTCATTCTTTCAGTGAGAGATGAATCTGGCATTAAAATTTTTAATACAATAACGACTGTCGGGCATAGAGAACAAATCTAATATCACTCTTTCAGTAAATATATGACTGTTTTGTTAAGAAAAGATAAATATGTCATTGTCAAATGAAATTCCACACCTGTACCGTAAATCCGAGTTGCATAATCTAGTTATTAGAACAGTATATCAAGTTTAATGAAGTGTCCCTCACCTTCGACTCGGAATTACGGTTTTCTAATCCTACTTCGCTATTAGTCATGATTGTTCACGCTTTATGGGACTTTCGGTATCAGAAAAATTAATATATTAAAAAATAAATTAGTATGGCTCATATGTGTTAAACACAAATTTCAAAGAATTTAAAGGAGTCGTGACAGGGTGGCAGTGTCTAAATATTCTATTCTAAGTTTATTGCGAAAAATTATCACCTCGGCCAGGGTAATATATTAAAACTTCTACTCTCATTTGGAATTCTCGTTTTTCTGTTCGACAGTTATTAGTATCATAACAATAATAACGAATTTAAACTTACTAAGAAAAAATGTTAGATAACCGAGTGTTGTTAAATCTATTAAATCTACGATGAATCTTAGATAGCAATTAAGTGTGTTATCTAATAAAAGTATCCACTTATAATTGCAAGCGCAAAGTTAACATAGGCATTTCTAAATAAACCTAAGAATAAATATAACTATTTACTGAAGAATAACGAAAATAATTATCAGTTTTGTGCATTTTCTAGTGTGACATAATAGATATTAACGCATATTGAAGAATTATTCGTATGAGTTATGGAATCATATTGAAAAAATGTACCGGCCATATTTGGGAAACGAAATTTCAGATTAACAAGACTTTATCGTGAAGCAAATGTTGTGAAACTAAATCTCCCTATATTAAAGAAAAACACTTTACATTACAACGATACATCCACACTTCTAATTAAAAGAAACAATAAAATACTTGATGTAATAATAGAGCCTTCTTAAAAAAAAATTCTAGTGTCGACTTAGAATTAAGGTAATTTCCTCCCAACCACAGTTGTAGTCGAAAAGATATTTTAAATAAAAGGTTCGACGAATATGGATTCTTGAAAGTGAAAGTAAAAACAAATTTTTAAAAATTACTTGTTCCGTCAGAATAGTAAAAATCGATGAAATAATAGAGAAACAGCGTGCTGAGTTGCGTAGTAGTCGCAGAGCTGTAGACCGTGACATTGATTTAATCGTTACGTCTTATTAGCTACAGAAAATTGCAAGGAATCTCGTTAACTGACAAAAAATTGGAAAAATGATTGGACTATATACATGATTGATAACATTCGATCGATCTTTTAAAGACGACGGTGGTTCACTGATAGCAGTAATAATATATACGTGACCTTTTCAAGCATATGTTTCATTGTCCCACGCATTCGCCCGTAATTTCCGTCACGATATGGTCGATCGATTAAATCAATTGCTGCATGGCACGGTCACTCGACTTTGACGACTGTTGACCAAGGGATAATTCCGTCGCGAAACGCTTTTGTGTCAAATATTAGCTGATATTTTTTCAGTTGTGGTTTCACGAAATGTAAAGCTATTGAACTGATTGATATTTCTCGAAAAACGTAATGTTCTTTAGACATTTGTGTTTGGCTTAAAGACAATTCAATTAACGAATTTATCCTTTGCCTGTATTAAGATCGCAGCGCTATCATGAAATTATTTAACGTTATCAATTATTAATATTATCAATTCAACATTAATCAATTAAACATCCTCGGTATACGGTCATGGTCAGAAAGGTTGTCCAACGTTTTACAATAAGTTTGAATATTTGTATGTATCATTGCATAGATATTCGTGTACATATCATTCCTTTGCTCTAATAATGCGTCTCTGCACATATCCGTGAGCAGAAGCTATAATCTCTCGCATAGACTATCTCCGAAATTTATCGTCGGGCAACCTTTCTGACCGCGATTATACATAACAAGCTGCGAATTTTTAGCCATCGGTTTTCTCTAATTTAACCATATATGTATATTTCAGCAAACTGTTTCTATGCCAAAAATGCTTATAAATGTCTACATAAATTTTATTCACTTGGAGGAAAGTCCTCTTTTATGAGATAGGTTTTTAATATGAGATAGCAGGTTTTCAACACCCAAATTCAATCACAAATCTTTTTTTCGCGACGATTATATAATCTAACAGTGAATTTTCCATTAAACAGATTTTGCTCCAAGGGCAATAAATTCATG